TCTTCGGGATAACATCCCCAGAGCACTGGGCAGTCCGAGCGAGCCAACCAGGATTTGGCAGAAAATATTACGATGTTTGGTAGCTAAGAATCCTTCATCCTGGAGCCAACAACTTTCTATGGTTGAGTACGATCATAACTCGTTACCAGTGTCAACCACAGGCCTCTCTCCGAGTGTAGCTTAGGTTACCAGCCACCTATCTTTCCGAGTCTGGAATCCGAAGTCGCGGTCCCCTCCCCTCACGCATTTGTCCAGAGGTGCCACCGCACTTGAACCAGAGCCCGAGAGACTTTGCTCCAGTTGGGGTAGGCGCATGAAGGCCAAGGCCGATTGCCACCGGTCAAAGCCTCCCATTTACCTTGTGGGTCGAAAAGATTGGCTTTCTACTAAGAACATTCCGCTCCGGTCCGTTTCTAACAAGCTTGCTCCTAAATTTATTGGGCCGTTCCCTGTCACCAAGATTATTAGTCTGACTAAAACTTCCTCTGGCACACAGGAGAATTTGTTCTGCCTTTCATGTATCTAAAATTAAGCCTGTGTTTTATTCCCAAATTAATCCACCTGTCCCGGTTGCTTCATGTGCTTCCTGTGCTTCATGGCTTGGCCCAAAGGCATGCTACCTCAGAGAGCCGGATCCACCTCCTGCCATCCTTTGCATCAGGCAGAGTCCTTCTGAAAGTTGTGCTTGTGCTGTTGCACCACAAATCAAAGACAATAGAGACTTATGCTATATTAGATGACAGAGCACAGTGCACCATGATCCTACTCACTGCTGTCCAGCAGCTCCAGCTTAAAGGTTAACCTGAGACTCTAGCACTTCGCACAGTCTGACCAGACACTGCTTACCTCAATGACTCAAAAGTCACCTTTGATATCTCTCCAAGAGGTAACCCAGAGAAACGCTATCAAGTGTTTGGAGCTTTCACAGCCTCTGGCATTGATCTGTTGTAACAGTCATACCCAGTTCAGACTCTTCAGAGACAGAATGCACATCTAAGAGGAGTTTCGTTACGGCCATTTCACAGGGTACGTCCATTTGTGCTCATAGGTTCAGACCAAGTTCACCTTATCACTGCTAAGGAGCCTATTCGTCAAGGAACCAAAGGGGTAGCCATGGCTGTGTGTACAGCTCTCGGCTGAGCACTTCAAGGGGCTGAAATGAGGACGACAATGTGCAGCAATGTTTCTTCATCTCCACTGATCACCCAGACGATCTTCTCTACAGAAATGTGGAGAGGTTATGGCAACTGGATGTCCTTTCGTACCAAGAAACTGGTTATCCGGTCTTGGCAAGACAAAGAGGCTATGCAGTTGCTTGAGTCTCAAACGGAGTGAGTCAATGTTAAGGGAGTACAATGTTATGCCACCCCTCTTCTGTGGAACCCAAGTGCTACAGAATTTGAGGGCAGAACTTAATGCAATCTGTCCTTGCAAATCTGAGGAGCACTGAAAGGAGACTCTAGAAGGACCCTGAAAAGGCTTCAATCTATTCAGGAGAGATTGCCAAACTCATCGAGGCAGGTTACGTAGTTAAGCTCAACCAAATGGAAGTGACGCAAACAGAGGCATGGTACCTACCCCATCATCTCGTGACTCCGAACAATAAGCAGCAACTGGTGTTGGAGTGTTCTTTCAGATACCATGGCCTGTCCTTGAACAATCAGCTCCTCCTAAGTCCTACACTTGGACCATCGCTGTGAGGAGTACTCAAAAGATTCAGACGGCATCCTGTAGCAGTGAGCTCAGATATCAAGGGCATGTTCCATCAGGTCCGTCTATTGCCGAAGGACAGGCTCTTTCTTTCGTTTCATTTGGAGAGATCTGCAGATTGAAAACCTTCCAGATGTATACGAGTGGCAGGTTCGGCAATTCGGCATAAACAAGCAGTCCATGCTGTGCCATCTTTGCTCTGCAACAACATACTTTTCAATTCCGAAGCCAGATATCCAGAGCTACAACAACTAGTCCACCAAAGCTTCTATGTGGATAACTGCCTGACAAGCTTCCCTATTGCCCAAACAGCCAAGCAAACTCTAGATCAGTTACGCAGCATGTTAGCAGAAGTGGAGTTCGACCTCAGACAGTGGGCTAGCAGTCATCCAGTGGTGGTAGTTTATCTTCCGACAGAGCAGTGGTTAGTGCAAAACTGCATTGATCTTATGGAGCCCACATTAGGCCTTAGGTGGAGTTGTGCAGCTGATACCCTTGGCTACTTGCCTGTCTTCCTTCATACTCGTATTCTAGTCAAAATGTGAGTCTGATACTGCTCCATAGGGCTTTGATTATAAGGGGTGTCTTAACCGAACCAGGAAAAAAAATCTCTGCACTCAATTGGATAGACCTAGATCAGAGCAACGCAGTAGGTGACATAAATGTTGAGGTACGCATAGTTGTCAACAGAACTGCACTGCAGAGTGTTGCTGCTTTTACTTGGTCATTAATGAGTGTGACCAAAGTAGAAACCACAACGACCACACGGTTTTCATTGTGTCCCATCTTCTTAGTGACCATCGGAGCCTGCTGATAAATTAAATTAAACTTTTGCTGAATCCTGTAGGAAGGAGAGCCAACACATCTTTCCGATCACCAAATGTGATTGACCTGATCTTCAAATGTCTCACAACCAGGGCAGTTCACATTGAGCTTCTTAATTTGATGGATGTCGATGCCTTCCTTCTAGCACTCTGCCGGCTCATAGCCAGAAGAGGTCAACCCCCTGAGATCCATTCAGATTGTGGTACTATGTTCCGCGTGGCAGAAAGAGAGCTACAGGAACCCTTCTTTATCATGGAGTTAGAACTCCAAATCCGTCTTGCAGACCACCGAATTGACTTCAAGTTCAACCTGCCCAGCGCTCCACATTTCGGCGGAATAAAAAATGCTCTCCAGGTAGCCGTTGGGAACCAAGCAGATTCTCAATTCGAAACCTCTGGGAGATGCCTCAAAAGATGTCGCTGACATCGATCCAATTACTCCTAACCTTCTCCTTATGGGGCGGCAGGATGCATCTCTCCCTCAGGTGGCATATGCTCCAGAAGACATGAGGCGGAGGTGGTGTCACTCTCAAAACATGGCGGAGCTATTCTTGTTACAGTTCACCAGAAACTAGTTGCCTACGCAGACTAGGCAGAAGTGGCATAAAGCTTTAAAAAAAACTGGAGGTCGACTCCATTGTACTGATTGTGGATACTCAACTCACAAGAGCTCAGTGGACCATAGGCGGAGTTTGGAAGACTGCATTGTGTGCGAACTGTTGAAGTTGTCATTGATGGTAAAGCTTACATTAGACCAGTAGCGCACTTGATATAGTTGCCTACTCTAGAAGGTAACACTAAAGACCGTTAGAGAATTCTCTTGATAACCCATTTGCTATTGTGGGGGCGGCTGTTGTGAATTCTCTCCCTTTAAGTGTTAAGTTGAACAATAATCATGTTAAATAAATGATTCCTATAGTAGCCTTTATGTATCATCCATTTTTGTCTGTGATTTTGTTCTTTGGAGAAAACTTTTAAACCAACTTCTGTGTGCTCTTTTGACAGGCAAGCGCGCATGTCTCGGTGAGGCTCTGGCTCGCACAGAACTCTTCCTCTTCTTCACTTCCCTCCTTCAGCACTTCACCTTCAAAGCCATGGTGCCACCAGAGGAGCTCGACACGACGCCTACAAATTGCAGTTTTGGCCGCATGCCCCGCACATATGAATGCTATGCCGTTCCTAGGATCTAGAGGAACAGTCCACAAAATAACAAAGAAAGCATTCAACATTCTCATTTTATTTTGATGCTTTAATGGAAATAAATATGTCCAAAATTATATTATTGCACAAGTGTTTTTTTTTTTTTTTTTTTTTTTTACACAGAGGCTTATGTCTGTGGAATGTTTGAGGACATGAGCATTTTTTACAGGTCACACAATAGTATTGGCACTTTAACAAATAATGCAGTTTAACATCTGAGTTGGCACATTTCTTTTTTTTCTACACCTGGGGGCATTTAACATAGAACATGTTTTTGTGTTCAAAGGCACACTTACTTTTAATTATATTCACTATGGTAAACCTATTAGGCTATACATGTTTATATTTTAGACCCAGCGAGAGGTTTTTTTTTGTTTGTTTGTTTGTGGGAAATTGTGTATGTCACTTGCCCATGCGTCTCATATTCGTTAATAGAAAAAATAGAGGGTGATCTAGATATAGCCTAACGATTTACAGTGGCTTCATCAGAACAAGACAAACTGTACCAGAGACTACAACAAAGATATCTTATATTTTGACAAATTCATGCCTGAACACAAACTCTTTGCACTAGGTTAATGTCATTCAGCACTGACAGGATGGTAAGAAATTTCCTCAGGGAACAAATGCAACTCTACAACACATCTGTGTAGCTCTCTCTACGTCCACTAGGTGGCTTTAGATGTCAATGGATCCGAGGAATAACCTCAATGTGAAAGCCACAGAACAACGCTTGATGCATGAAATAATAGATTTCCTAAATCACAGTGAAAGATCAGATAAATATTACTATTATATATAAACTCTTCCATTCATAGTAATACAAAGAATGTGTCCAGTAAAGACGAGTAATGTAATAGTAAGAATAGATGTAAGAATAGATCTTAATACAATGTGAGTGATAAAAAAAGAGGGGGTAGACTGATTTAAAGGGTCCGTTCATCCAAAAATGAAAATTCTGTCAGTAATTGGCTTTATGCACAGCTGCATCCTGAACTTAAGCCAGCTCCTTGTTTCCTGTCTGTCATTATTGGACAAATTGATTAATCCAGGTGTGCCTGACCTCAGTAGTCACGGCAACAATAATCAGACACACCTGAATTAATCAAGTTCGGCCAATAATGGCCAACACAAGTTAAGATATTTTTGATTAAATCTGAGAGAGTGGTCTCACTCTTCCATAGGCTTCTAAGATGAACAAAAGTCTTATGGGGTTGGAACAACGGGGGTGAGTAATTGCTGACAGAATTTTCATTTTTGGGTGAACTAACCCTTTAAACCTTCATGCCGTTTTAGAAACAATCTATTTCCATGTTTGACAGTGTTGTTACTGTTACCTAACTAAATTACCCTCTAATCCTTTTAGATATACAGTTCACAGTTGGTTTCTGTCATGGCACTGAATGAAAAGGGATTAAGCCATCGAGTGGAATGCAGAAACAAACAAAAAAAAGAATTAGATTTCCTGCAGTTTAAGAGAGTGCCTAGACCGCACCATTCTGGTTGAGCGGGTTACACAAGACTAGAGCCATATAAAACCTCCATGTTAGATATTTAATGCCTCCATGCACTTATCATATCAGGGTAAGGATGTGCTTTTTGACATAATGCTAGTGCTAATTTGCTGTTTATGGACATTTTATAAGTTTTAATAACTTTATTATTGGTTCTTATTCTGTGTACAACAGTTGTGCCACTTAATATTTTTGTTGAAACTGATACGTGTTTTTAAGGATTCTATGATAAGAGTAGGCTATTTAATTGAAATAAAAATATTTTGTAACAATGTTAAATTATTTGATCAATAAAGGCATCCTTGCTAAATAAAAGTTAATGAATTTCTTTCTTTACGTTTTTGTTTCGTTTGAGTGGACGTGTGGCTTAAGGGTCTAAATACTTTTTGGGGTGACTGATGGTTATTTTGGTGATTTCACAGGCTAGGTGATATTTGTGTGCCTAACCATTTTACTCTCAACAGATAATCCCCATTCAATCCAAAATATGACTTTGGGGCAATGAGTTTTTGAGTTGATCCACGGTGTTGGCGCATAACAGAATTCATCTTGTGTCCAAATTGAGGTATAGTGGTAAATATCAAATGAGAAAAACAAAAACAGGTCTGTCAGGTCTAATGTGAGAAATTTGATGTAGGAATATCCTTTTTATAGTTCAAAAACAATGAAATCTGTCTAATCAATGGCCAGCACAGTCCACTTTATTCAGCAGTAGGTCTCGGAAACCATGGTTGCGCCCTCTGCAGCACATTGGGGTAACGCTGGCACATCCAACCTGTTTAGAACCTGTTTTCGGGCAGAGATGTAGCAGTACGCCTTGTCTTTCTTTGCTCCAGGATGGTAGTGTTGAATGGTCAGGTGGGCGTCTGTTGGTGTTGGGTCTGAGCACAGTTGGCAGCCACTGTCCAGAAGGCACTCTGGAGAGCAGGCTGGGTCATGGTGGCACAGAGGACTGGCACCTCCTTGCTGTGTGTTGCTACCTGTATTACGCTGGTCTTCCAAAATGGTTATTCCCAATTTCCATCGCTGCCATTTCTTTTTGATTTCTGACTGTACCTGAAATCAAACACATGATAGGTAAAATAGCAGTTATATGAATATATACGGCCTAGGATAGCAGGGTTATTATCATTAACAAAAATAAATAAATTAAATTAAAACATTAGCTTAAATAAAAATGATAAATTGGATATAAAAAAAGTACTTATTTTATTTCAGCTATTTAAGCATTCATAATTTTCATTTAGCTGAAGTACTAAAATACATTTTCTAAAATTAAAACGTAGACAGAACAATAAAAAAATTTATAAAAATGACAAAAAACAACAAATTACTAAAATGTAAAAAAAAATCAATTGAAAAAAGAATATGTAAAATTAAATCTAATTCAAAATATTAACCAACTATAATATCAATGATAATAAAAATCTCTCTCTCTCTCTCTCTCTATATATATAATTTATTTTATTTAAATACATTAGAGTATACATTAAAAATATTACACTATACAGTATAGCAAAAATATATACCTCTTTATTGAAAAAGCAGTATAGTATGGCCACCAGAAAACCCTGTGGGGTAACAGCAACAAATGTGTCAAAATGCATTAACTGGAAGGATATACACTACATTAGAATACTGCAAGGAAAACAAAAAGTTGATGATCTAGGCCATGTTGTGACATGGTCTGTCTCGCTTGTTCCCCTTAGTTGTACCTGAAAGGAATTGAAGAAGAGTTCAAAGAACAGGTTGACATTGCGAAGTACGCCCTCAGTCTGTTCACCTGTCATCACAGCAAACACCACCTCATGAATCCCTAACAGGGGAATGAGGGTCAGCGTCGACTTGGCTAACCTGAGGAACCAAGAATATTAGACGCAGATTATTCAAAACACAATCTCGCTTCAAAATGCCATCAACTTTTCTTTCTTTTTTTGAGATCTCATTGTTTCAATACACGTATTATTCGACTATGGATAAGCAGGATTTAAGCTTAAAGGCTAGAAATACATTCTCTGGTGGGAAAAGAATAGCTCCCTAAAATACACGCTGTCCTCAAGGCAGAGGGTGAACATTTTCTTCAACATGGTTGAAACATCAAAAGCTTGCTAAGGCACTTTATGTGACACAGTTCCAGTTTACATAACATGGATGAAATCAGAAATACCGGCTACAAGGAAAAACCAAAAGATCAGGGCCCGGTTCCCCAAAACGTTCTTATTGCTAAATAGTTCTTAACCTATTCCTTAACCTCTCTCTTAACTTTATGGCACGATTCATAACACGTTCGTACAGGCCATGAGTCCACTGAAAAAAACCTAGCGTCTTCTGCTGAAGACACCTAGCTTTGGGCACTTGAGAGCGTTCTGGCGCAGCGTTTTTTCCGTTGAGACGTTTCGTTGCTATGATACAGAATATCTGCAGCACAGCTTACCTTTTAACTGATTTCGCTGATAATTTGCTTCACTGATATGGAGTGAACCGAAATGAGTGTTTGAATGAACAGAGTCGATTGGTAATTAATCATAAATTGATTTATAAGAATCGTTTAAGCAAATTTATGGTGTAGGAGCCATAAGGCTTTTAATAATGTTACTTAATGTCATGGTTGTATGTAACTACTGTCTGCTCTCCCCCCTGCGGTAAGGGGAAGGAATTGAACCCCTTTTTGGGGACTTCCTGAAGGCAGACATTTTAAACAGGAAGTGATGCGACAAGGGCAGAGGGAAAAAATGGAAGAACCAAATATAAACATTTCACTCAGTAGAGCAGAAGGAAAACATTTAATTTTGGAAGCATGTAATAAGAAATGGCAGACAGTTTGGGATTCATGTCATACAGGTCGGCATTATTATAAGGTCCAAAAAAACATAAAGCGAGGCAATATAATCCACAACTTAAGCAGAAGAGAACAAGTTATTTTCATGCATTTAAGAACAGGACATTCAAAGCTAAATTATACTTTACACATTATAGGGAAACATAACAGGTTTATGTGAAGTATGTAGAGGAGACAGAAGAACATATAGAACATATAAGAAGAAATGTAAGGCGTATAATAAAGAAAGGAGGATTCTTAAGGAAGAATTGCAAGCAGTAGGGTGCCAGGAATTCACCATAACCAAATTATTAAATGATGGTCCAAATTCATGAAAACAAATAAAGACAATCATGAGGTTTATTAAGAATTGTGGGTTATATAATAGGATTTAGGAGAATTTAGTTCATTCTTTTCACACTCCATCACAGTAGGTGGCGGTATACACCTTTAAAGTTGGTTCGCAACCCGCCATAAAACCAAAAGAAGAAGAAGAAGAAGAAGAAGGGCAGAGGGGAAGGGAGACAGTTTTTTTGACCTACACTACACAGCACTGTTTGTTTTGGAGCACAGAGTTTTGTCTTCAAGTTTTCACCTTTCTGTTACAATAAAACTCAAGTCTTGTTAAAACAGATGTAGCGTCAAATATACTTTCCCTCACGGAAGTGGCTTAAGAAGGAAAGAAGCCACTACATTAAGTCAAAAAACTCCCAAGAAGGACATGCAGGCATGTGGTAGGCCCAATCAAGGCCTACATCTGGAATGATCAAGCCTCGAGTGCACGTATCGACAGCTTTGACAGGATTCTGAAATTCATCCAATGCGTGAGTAAACAAGGGTGAACTTATTCCTAAAAGCTGTGGTTGAGAATTTTGGCTTTGATCAAAGCATGGTACAAGGAGCTGATGCTTATCTGTACATTGTGGCCTGCTGATTCTATGGAAAGCTGGATACTTGATTGTGCTTGTTTGTGTCAAACATAGCTGATAAAATGTCCAAAAATGAAAAGGATGGAGTTGAACAAAGCATTGGATCACTCAGTTCTATGCGTAGGGGAAAACTTGGATGAATGAAGTAAAGGCGTTGCTTGCTGAGGGTTGTGATTGTGGAATTGATTAAAAGAAGTGCAGAGATATTTTTTATGTCACTTGAAGAATTCAAGACTGTTCATAGGCTTGTGCAAGAACAACTATCCAATGATATCAGAGAAAATGAGCGCATTGACTGGTTTGAGCCTAAAATGGCTACATTTAAGAACTTAATGAGTGAATATGAGATGTGGAAAAATGTTCAAAAGGATCCACAAACACTCATTGAGCCAAGTGATAGTGTTTCGAATGTGTCCAAGAGGTTACATAAATCTCGTAGTTCTCACAGCTCAAGTATGCCATTTATCTATCTGGAATGAGTTATTACTCTGCCGGCGGAAAGAGAAATGGGGTTGTTTGTATTCTTTCTGTAGTCTTATGCAGTCGCGGTATCGTAGGCTACACTATACAAGTGGTTTGCTTGCAATTGGCAAAGGTGCATTATCGCCACCAACTGGGCTGGAGTGTCTATTATTCAATCTCAAGAATGTACGCTTGTGAGGCGTTCGGAAAAATAGGTCAACAGTTTTACAACGAATGGTAAAACACCTGTTGGAAAGCATCTTTTGCAGCGATTTTTGTGTGAGCAGCATATCAGTGAACACCCCAAACCACTCACGGAGTTTCACGTCTTTGTAAACACTCTGAAAAACCTGAAAATTCTCTGGACAGCAGCATCTGTCTAAAAAAACAATCTTAACCATTCTATTTCATCAGAAACGATCTTAAAACAGGGCTTTAACTGTAAAATACCAAACTTGTCCTTAAGGGAATAACATAGTTTAATAAAAAAATGGTGGAGTATCCCTTTAAGCTCTTTTGACATTTTTCCTGACGTGGCTATATTAAAAAAAATTCGCCTCCCAAGACAACTCATTATGGAGCTGCTGGACCTTCTCAGACCTGCGCTTGCCAGGCTAATGTGGCGGAATTTAGCTTTAAGCTTTTAACCATTGGCAATCAATACTGCATAACAGAAGTAACTGTATTCAGAATTGTTTGACAAGAAGCTGCAAAGTACCTTATTATTAATTAAAAGTGTTTTACATCATATTTAGAAGTCGTTAAGCCCATGTCAAAAAGCGGCACAAGTGGCACAATGGGATAAGGAGGGTGGATGCAGGCCAGCTGACAGTCTTGCCTGGGCCCGGGACAAGATAATCTTAGATGGGCCCCCCAATGCCCAGATCTCTCCTTTTCCCTTTCCCTCGCTTCCCTCCTCTGCTCTTCCTCTCCTCTGCTTTTCCTCTCCTGTTTCTTTTCTGGCAGCCTATTGCAGTTCATGTTAAAACACACCAAACAGTGGTACTTTGTGTGAAATCATATTTATTTTTTTGTCCATCAACAGCCCATTATCTGTTCACCGATGCCGACAGTGACACATTTCAGCCGGCTTTTTATTTCTCATCTCAATAAATATATCTAGTAGGGCTAACGCTAAGAGTGAGCGTTATCGGGGAACCGGGCCCAGGTTGTTTTAAATATAAAATTTGCAAAACTAACAGATACTGATGAACATGAATTAATTTGTTGAAAAACAAACAAACAAACAAACAAAAAACAAACACTTCATTATTACGTTAATTTAAAATAAGACAAATTCTTACCTAAATTTATAATCTGTATATCTCATCTGATGTGCTTTTAATTTGGAGATGATGATCTGAATAATCCTTATAAATATGAAAAAGTTCACCTGTAAAATATGATTATTTATATATAAATAATTACATGTAGAATGCTCAATGTAAAAGGACACATAAATTACATAAAAAACTGCATAAATTATCCAATGCAGCCGAGTGTGACAGATCTGTTCAAACCAAGCCACAATAATTTCGGAGTGCAGAAAAACATTTCCTCAACACAATCTCAAGAGTGCTCAAGACTAATGAGTCATCCATGTATAATGCAAGAGTGACTGGTTATTTAACTGGTTGTTATGGTGAGTTCCTTCCTAGGTAGTGTTGCACCAGCCTTTTGTAAATTCGTTCCTAAATTGGAATGTAAAGTCCACACTAGAGGCTTACTAACTAGCTAGTTTGTAACTAAATCTTTACCCTATTCGGTTGCAGCATTTGTTTATAAGGCAGAATAGCTAATAGGTCATAAGCTCCACATAAAGTAATGCGTAGTCACACAATATTTACTCTCAATGATCCAATAGCAGCCTTCAAATAGATAAGTTGTGAATAACATCATGAATAACATGTATTTTTTTAAACATGTCAATAACATTCGGAAACTGTATTTGAAATGTGAAAATTACATTCATGACATTATATTATTTTAAATGTTTAACATGGACCAATGCTTTAAGAGGAGCGCATTACGGGTTCTTGTTGAAGAGCCTCTAACAAAGTAATCTGCACGTAATGTTTTCTATCTTAAAGGAATAGTTCATTTTAAAAAAATAAAATTTTTTTGCTGATAATTTTTTTTTTGCTGATAATTTACTCACCCCCATGTCATCCAAGATGTCCACGTCTTTCTTTCTTCAGTCGAAAAGAAATTAAGGTTTTTGATGAAAACATTCCAGGATTTTCTCCATAATGGACTTCAGTGGGAACCAAACGGTTCAAGGTCAAAATGACAGTTTCAGTGCAGCTTCAAAGGGCTTTAAACGACACCAGACGATGAATAAGGGTCTTATCTAGGACCCTTCGAGTCATGACTCGAAAAAAAGGTTTGTTCATTTTGATGAACGCGTTTGAACAAGAGAGTCACGAACACTCATCACAGAACAGAGCAAGGCGACCATTTGTGCTTATAAAACTTAAAATGTTTTATTTATTTTTTAAGTGACCGATCGTTTCGCTAGATAAGACCCTTATTCATCGGCTTGTGCCGTGTCAAAGCCCTTTGCAAACCTTAATTTCTTTTTGACTGAAGAAAGAAAGACATGGACATCTTGGATGACATGGGGGTGAGTAAATTATCAAGTAAACGTAAACATTATTATACAGTATATGTCTAAAGAATTGAAGTCTGTCGGGTAAAACAAAAGCTTTTTTGATGCAGTTCAGTCAGTCTGCTGTTTTATTCTAACCGTTGCTCCCGATGGGAGACTACCATAAATATTTAGATAATGGGTAAAGTTATGCTTTAAGTTTAATGGTGCAACACAAAAATATTTAGGTAATAAGTGCGCAAGTTGTAACAGTGACCATTTACGTCAAGTTGTATGCAACAACTTAGCATAGCTGTTGCAACCGTCCCCGGATTACTCAGAACTTGGAATTCTTTCACCTCCTACTCACAAATAACCACTGGAACATAGGTCAGAAATCATGCTAGTAAAGATGCAGCAGATCTTTCAGCCCTGACTATGAGGAGAAGCATCATTTGTTGTCATTTCCAAGATGGTAGAAACTAACGCAATATTCCATTGATTGAAAATGTCAAGTTCTGAGTTATCTGGAACACAGGTTGGAATTGGGAAATTTCCAGTATTCAGTAGAAATAAAAGATCTGTAAACAGGACGAGGTCGAGGGACGTGGGAGGATGGCACGAGGCCAGTCTGATTAATGATGAACGACACCTGTCGCACCGGTCTCGTATCTCTCATGTCCCTTGACTTTGTCCTGCTCGCCACACACATATACCGTAAGCCTATGTGAATGACTATAAATCAGAGAACAAATTCAAATTTTAGACAAAATGAGATAAATACAGAGGAAAACTCACTAAAATTGCCAAAAGGATTGGCGTTCGGATGATCCACCAATATGCCATATTTTCGTTGATCTCCCAGCACCTTGAGAAATGTGTAGGGACATTTGTAATGCTTAACCAAAGTTGATCTTAATCTTTAACCAAATGAAAGCATCAAGACTTCTGGCATATCTTACCTAGTGTTCTCATACAAGTAACGAACAATTATCCAAGGCACCACAAAGAGCACAGGCGTTCCTGTCAGAAAACAAGCAAGACACCTGCCTCACATTTGTGCATCCATTTAGCATTTCATTTATACTTTCTTTAAAAAAAATTTTTTTTTTAATTTAATTGTGGTAATTGTTCAAATTCATTCAATGTTTGGAAATATATGCATTTTAATTAAAACATTTTTTGTATTATATTTAATGTTTTTTTAATCAATTTATTAAATTTAGTTTTCCGCTAAAAAAAGAGTTGAATAAGTTTGTTACACACCCCAGCCGATGAAGAGGTACACACAGAAGTAACTGTTCTCTGAGAAGACCATCAGCACCACCAGGTTGTGAAGATATAGACCTTCTACCAGTAGCCAATAGTAGTTGGCCCCAACACAATACTGCATCAGGACCTGAGCCACACGGCAGCCTGACATCACCTGTGGGATTTTAATGTGGGTTTACTGTACCAAACAATGTACTTGAATAGTTTTGTAGCAGGAGCGTTTCCTCAGAAAATAAATCGCCAGAAAATAAAAAGATAAAATGATGCAAATTTTACAAAATATAAAATTAAAAAGTGTCTAAATCCCATATTTTTCTAAAATGACATTGTCCAACAGTGACACCAGCGGTTAAAGTTACACCGAGATGCAACGTCTTTCTTGGTTCCCCTCAGCTCAATGACTTTTAACAGACCCCCCAAAAGTGTGTCAGGGGATTGGCGAGTTTAACAGAGAACGAATGGGGGAAAAGTCATGAGAGAGAAGACAATGCTTCCATTGTACTTTGATGGGCCTATTACAGTTCATACTATACAATCTGGATTCATAAAAAGGTGTTAATGAGAAGACTAATTCAAAAATAAGTATACAACCCTAATACATGGATATCTCACTTTACAACACATCAGAAACAAACTTGAAATGACTTGAAATGACTGTGACCAATGTTTACTGATCTTTGATGAGCAGTATTTTGATGACTGATGATACAATAATACGTTTATTAAAGACTATTAAAAAACATCAGTTGAAAAAACAAAATCGACATGAAATCTAAAATTTGTTTATCTAAACTTAATTAGTTTTTATTTTGTGATAAATTTAAAGATAGATTAGATAGAACTTAATTAGATTTATACATTTAATAAACAGAACATTAATTGCAAAGCTAATATAAAAATAGAAAATAGAACTGTATAAACAACGTTTATTTACACTGTAAAACTTTAAGTGTAACTGTAACATAAATTTACATTTGATTAAAAAAATACTGAGGCAGCTTTTTTGCAGCGTGTAATTACTGTAATGTAATTGAGTCAGTACTGTATTTCTGCTTACCTCGTCACTCAGAACGATTGAAACATCTTTGTTGTCCCTGAACTCTGGAGCGTCTTTCATGAGAAGTGCGTCTCTCGTGAGAATGGACACAGCTCGCAGGATAAATGAGGCAAACAGGTTGGTGTGGATGTAATTACGTGTGCAACGCAGCTTCCTGCAATAATACGCACAAAACACTTTATGGCTTTTCAGACTTGAAATACTTAACCCTGGGTCAATCTAAACCCTGGGTGAACAAATCTTGCTTCACTTTTCAGACTGCTCATAACTTAACAATTAATCCTCATAAACTGATGTTTCACACTGTAAATTCTTGAACTCTGGATTAATGTTCTTATTTGGAGCAGTGTCATTGATTGGGCGAACAGCATGTGGCATGTTTACATTAAGGCTCTTGCTTTTTTATTTTCTAATTGCAGGATGATGAATTAGGCCAACAGCTTTATATTGTGTTTTTTCTTCTTCTGCATGCCATGTTCTGCTCACTTTTCTGGAGGAAAGCAGTCACTTGCCTGAATATGAGAAGTATGACGAAGGCTAAAGACAGGCTGGCCAGGGAAAGAGAGTAACCAACTGTGTACATCACTCTGAAATAGGCCAAGATCATCATCTGATTCTCCTGTGAAAAAAGCAAGAGAAAGAATAGCACTATACAGACATGAGCCAATTTAATTCATGTGACAACTCTGAAAGAAAAACCATCTCAAATGTCTTGTGTGCGACATGAAGGCAAAGCTTCAGAGCAATTCAGACAGTTTTCTAACTCTGCCATACTGACAACCACTGAAAGCTGCCTTGGGCAGAGTGTAATGACATTTTTATATTCACGAATCACAGTAGCAAGTAATATCCAATAACTCTGCAAAATAACTCTGTGAGCAGGAGATAAAGTCTCCTTTGCCAAAAAGAAATAAGAGCAGAGCTCTGCAAATGACACTAGTCGGATTGCTTTACAAGTGCTTTGGTTCATGAAATTATGGAACCAAATTCACCCAGCCAGTTTCATATTTTACATAAATTCTCCATACACCACAAATCAAACTGGTTTCTTTGACTGAGACTTTTTCCAGTCGTTTTGAACAACAACATGTACATGTGATCCATGAAAATAAAGATGTCAGTACTCTCTGCCTGAAAAAAGCTTTCAATGGCTGTCAGAATGGTGGAATTTAACAATTGACTCGATTCAATTCATGAATAGGAATTTGAATGAACTGGTACCACAGGAAGTTAAATTGGAATTTGAACTTGTATGACAGTAAGTGGAATTTACTGAATTGCAACTCGCATGAATTTAACGACTTATTAAGTCGTTTTAACGACTTAGTATGTCGTTATAACGACATAATATCTCGTTATAACGACATAACAAGTCGTAAAACTACTTATTATGTTGTTATAACGAGATATTATGTCGTTTTAACGACTTATTAAGCCGTTTGAACGACTTAATTATGTCGTTATAACTAGATATTATGTCGTTTTAACTACTTATTATGTCGTTATAACGAGATATTATGTCGTATATATAATAATATAATTAAATACACTGCAATATAATTAAATACACTGCTGGATCTATTAACCTGGATGCCAGCCGAACTTAGCCCCGCCCACAACATTTGAGGATGGGAAGTGACTATTTAAGCGAGTATTTATTTCATAATGTGATTTTCCCCCCACTTTCAATTCTTTTACTTCAATGTAAGGTTAGAGTTTTGCGATGGATAAACAACTGCATACATGTACATTAGATGCTATACATGTCTCTTTACCTGTGCTATCTGCTGGCTGCCATCTGCATTGCATTGTGAGTGGTCTCTCCATGTGCGGCTGTGGTTGACAGTGAGCCACTGGCCATCTGGACCACATTCCCGTGACACAAACCCATTACGCACTAAAGAGGACAGTGATGCATAACAGGTCTTCTTTTACTCCAAACATGTCTAGAATTGGAGAGTCTTCTATGAACCTTTTAATAACTGAGTGCATAGAAATGACAACCAACTGCATCATTTAAGGTAGTCATTCATTCTTATGTTAGTATGTTCTAAATCTGTCTCATCGTTTTTACCGGCATAAGATAAAATGAGTTTAAGATAAACATTTTCACATAAAAAAATGGTGAGCTTTTAGATCCTCTTTTAAAATTAAAATGGCGAATTGAATGAAGCATACTTTTTTTTATTTTTCTATGCCAACAGGTACTATTATTGGCAGTGGTACCTTGATCATACCATGGCAGATACCAGGGACACGGCACTTTCACCGTTGTGTTGGGAACTCCCTCTGTCCAACAAGCGTACATATCAAACATGCTTTTGCAAAACAAACCTACTGGAGAAAATAGAGTTAACGTGAATATAAAGGTGATCCAGAGAGGTTTAATAACTGCCAGAGCTTATTTCATACATAAAATTGTATATCTAATTGTTGCATTCCATGTTAGAAGTGAAACTAAAATTATCCTTATTGACACTCCTTACGCAAGCAAGATTTACTGTATATGGCAAGAAAGATTCATGACAAACACTTGGGGTGGTTAGTGTATGTCTGTGTGTTTACTTCTCTTCATATACATAGTAAATCTCAACTAGCTGTTTTCCAGTGTTGATATAGAAACGCACATGCACACACACGGATGGGAAGAGCTAATGCCTACCCGAAGGTGTGGGTTGTGAGCTTATCTTCAAGATGCACTCGTTCCGATACCTGTTCCATTCCTGCACTGTGTCCTTCACCGTCTTCCCACTCACACTCTGAAATAACACGACACCATGAGGTTTCAACTCTCTTCAAACTAAATCAAAATTGGCCTTATTTACTGTCTTAATATACATGATCTTATTGTACACAATGCTGCATGCAAGAAATGCTGACAGTTACCATGTTTTTTGCCTTGCAATGAACAGAAAAATAATTTTGAAAAGGTTTAAAATGTACACAAAAGCACTATAAGGCCATGTGTCCACCAAAGAGTTTTCAACGAGAGCGCCAACGCCAGCAGCGTGACGAGGCGCTGAGCGTCTATTTCATGCTGAGCGTCTATTTCATGCTTTTTTCCGTCTGGTTGTCGAGAGGTGAAAAATATTCAACACTGGGTAAAACGCAGCACTCATCACTTTTTACTCAGCCATTCAATTACAATGGAAGTGCAAGACAAACACCACATGGACCAACACTGTCCTTTCTTACATGGTTCAGCGATATCTTCATCCAAATCAAGGGACAGAGCAAGTACTTTTTAGTCAACATTTTTATATTCAGAAACTATCTGCAAAACCAGAAACTAGTAACACTTCCGTAGATTTTCCATAGCGCTATTGAGCAGCAGGCTAAAAATACTTTGGTGGACACACAGCCTAAGCAAGCCTATAGTATTGCAGGCCTTATGAGAGCTTTATGGAAAACACCAGCCCGTTCTCATCCCTGACGCTTTTGACAATGCGTATACATCCAATGCACATGGCACCCTTTAGCGTCAATATGACACGGAGATATATATAAGCCAGAAGGTGCCTCCTAGAGACCTAAACCTACCCACAACCGAAGCGTGTCATATTGACGCTAAAGGGTGCCATGTGCGTTGGATGTATACGCATTGTCAAAAGCGTCACTATATGACGCCCTAGGATGAGAATGCACTGAAAACACACACTCAAACAGAATTAATCTTCATAGAAATGCATTAACAGCAAGCTATTAGTTTTCGCTGCAAAATATATGTTGATCAATACCTCAGCTCTGCACAAGATGGACAGAGTGAGGAGGAAGATGGTGGAGGTGCTCTTCATCACTGAGACAGGTACCAGGGGCCAGACATCTTAGAGCTGGGCCCTCGTCCAACCAGAACCAGAGCAGGCCATTCTTTCAGACCTGTACGCCACCAGCTGCGCCCTTCAGGACTGAAACATAGCAGAGAATACTAAGGGCAGTCTGACAGCTCGAAAAGAATTAAAGAAAGCTCTTGAACTTCCAGTCTCTCTCAGTCTATACTTTACATGATCTTATTAAATCCTTTGAAATAAATCTGTGTAACACATGAAAGTACCCCACGTCGCCACAACCTGCTTTACCTTCAACCTGAATACTGTTCGGTTCTTTTATTCCCCTCACATCTATACACTGTATGTACTTCAGTCTTTACATAGTCATAACAATTTACAGTCATTATACAAAAACGGAAATCTGAAAATGTAGTACAGAAAATCTAATCTCAATATAAATATGAACATGTATTTTTATATATTTTAGTTATTTAAATGTATAGAATTAAATAGTATAATTTAATATTAATAATTATCAGTCTATTAGACCATCCCTAAACAACTAAACTGATGTCTGCGGAAACAGAAGAGTTAAATACAGAAAGAAAATTTAATTGAAATTTGTAAAAGTACAGTGCATTTGAACAGGAATTATTGATGGGCAAACTAGAAAAAAATCCATAAAAAGATTAAAATAACCATAGAATTGGTTGACTGAATGGGTTGTCCTTCAGCAGTCAATATAATCCAGACGCTGTTGCTAAATCTCAACTTAAATCGATAATGGTTCAAGGAGGAAGGTCATTTGATCTCCAAAAGAACAATTTGACGGAAGTCTCTTCAAGCGTGCCCGAAAGGAGGAAACAGTACGCTTAATCGAGATGATGTGTAAATAAGTGAGTGTCCTGCTAAATCATGTATGAGCAGGTAGGTGTTGAATAATTTACTTGATTTTGTGCTAAACAGGCTGGAAAGTGCTGAGGGTATAAACACAACACACATGAAGGACTTAGAGAAGGAAATTCCGGAAGAAGACATTCGTGTAATCACTCTAATCACATTGCTAGGGGAATAGAAACAGTTTACTCCATCTCAATCCCTTCAACTTCACCTGTAATTTCAATAATTTACCAAAAAGGACACAAGTATGACCTTGAGTGGGGTCTGTGAAGTCTTAATGCTTGAGTTGATAATTATGATTATATAATTAGTTTAGTTCATTATATAAACATGGAAAATGGTAATATTTGCTTTATAAAACGTTTCCCTAGATAGTACTACACTAAAGCAGTAGTTTTCAACTGGTTTTGTTATTAAAAAATCTAATCAAATACTGAATTTTATAAAAACTATTTGCATGAAATATTAACTTAATATAAAAGAACAGAGAATAGTTTGTTGCAAATCTTTTGACAATCCATATTTAACCATGTGTGTAACCATTTCTCTAATCATTTGTGTCAAAACATGCAGGATTTTATTTTAACTGAATTTAGCATTGTTTTCCCCTATTGTCTATGATCAGATTCAGGACCATGTTTGACTATCAGGACTATCAGCCTTTATTTACGTAATGATTGTGTTGTCATGTTACCATAATAGTTCTGGGCACATTTTTAAATAAGTAATAACAAATAAGTAATTTCTAAGTGGGGTGTGTTCCATAACTCACAATGTGTGCAATAATTTACTCCTAAAGGCCAGAAACCTACTCTGCAATGTTTATATTGCCCCTCCTTAAAGGTTCTTTTGATTAATTCATAACCCATAACCCACTTGTGCCAAAGCCAAACATACAATCACACAAAACACTGGACACAGTCGAACGACTGTAAATTACATCAGTTTGCCAACCCTTTTGGCACATCAACCGACCTTTCAAAAGCAAACATTTAAGGATAATAAATGATATCTTTAGATATTACATCTCTTAAAGGCAACACTCGCCTACCGATTGTACACCAGCCTACCGATTTTGTTTTAGACATGTCAGTTTCCAAAAGACAATCAACAGTTTTAACAGAGCAACACTGCTGAGAGGCGCATCATCACCAGGCTGCAGGAAATCAGTTAGAATGTTGTACGTCCTGCTGATTATAACGCACACTATTACCATTCATCTTACATTACAATATGAAATAACAGCATGAAAACAGTCATTTAGCGGGTAAAAAGTAATTTAGTTCATTTCAGCCCATTCTCATCCTTTCGCGTCACATACGCTATATGACAAAACGGCGCTATACTATGCACATGGCATTCTCAGCTTGTGGAAAATCTGCTTGTGATTAACTTTGATTCATCGTGTGGTTTTTCTATTCACCACCTGTGTTATGTCAATATGTAAAAAAGTACAAAACAGATTTAGTAGCAGTGTGATCAATTGCTAATTGAGCAGGAAAGGGCTGTTGGGTTTACCAGTTTAAATTTATTACCGGACTGGTAATAAATTTATTATACGCACATTTTTCTTCTTTTTTTACCGTGTGCACCATAAAGTAACTTGTGTGACATCACCTAATTCATATCTAGGAGTAAGAATGAGCTTCAATGAGGACCAGACTTTGTGTGTCTATGCAAAGCTATTGTACCCATTATTTTGTGGGGAAAGTTTAATGATTGTTTGCTGAGATACATGAGACATTTCAATGCATTTTCCGTAAAGCAACAGTACATTTTGTTTTTACACAAATAGAATCTGGGTTCAGAATCTGGGATCAGTCCTGTACTTTTCTTAATGCTTGAGATAAACAGAAACTGAAAAGGTTTTTTCAGAGTAATAAAGCTGATGTTTCAGGAAGTCCTGCACTCGGAGACCTTCACAGACTAACAGCAACATTAATGAGCCAGATTCGCTACAGCCATTTACTTGTTTACACAACTCAACGTCTGCCTGCGATCTGACCTTAAATGCACCAGACATAATTTATTACCCAACTATACGTACGTATCGTCTACTGAGGCATCTAACCAGGGCTGTAACCATGTCTTTATTGAGCATTGGGGGGGCTTAGATTATTTTAAGTCTAGGTTGTGAAGTTATCAATTGAAATCTAAACATGCACACATTCACTATTATTTGTATGTTTAATAAGTTTAAAATGTAACATTTATTGTCTTGTCACATTCAGTTATGAATTAACCTACCTGTTTGCACATTTTGATGTGCAAAACAGCAACATTTTATATAAAAAAGTAGTTTGCATCACTATATCTTACTCTAGCTGGTTTAACATTTCTGTGAACAGTAAAGCTTGCCTTCTTTGATTTGATTGGCCATCTTAGTCATTTTTACGAGCGCTGTTACACCAAAGTCTGGCCTAAAAATGTAACTTATGCACTTTCACTCATCAATATGCACTTTTAATGAACTTTTAAAGGGTTACATCATACTTCCTTAAAACAAAAAAGTATACTTAAGTTCAGTTTATTGATTCCAGATTCCAGAAGATGTGTAATATCGCCCACTACAGTATAACAGTGAAAAAATGTATTGCTGGAATATTATGTCAATGGAGGGGAAATAATTACATGTACATAGATTTGAAGTAAATTCCTATTTACACTAACAGTTGACTACACAAAAATTCAGAGGTGTTTATTCAGTTTTCTTTATAAATCAATATTTTCAAACAATATTTTATACGACAGTAAAACTACGTAAAAAACCTATTTAATAGGCTACCGAATCAAAAGACTAAACACAACTACAAGGCAATCCAAGTACACTTAGTTATACATTTAAGTAGGCCTATATCTGGATAAAAAGATACTTATATAATATACTTAAGAAGGCTTCAAATATACTTAGACTTTTTGTCAGTGTAAATCAAGTATACTTAAGTGTAATTTTAATTATATTTCTGAGAAGTAACCTACTGTACATAAAGACTGAAAAAAGTACTTGCTCATTTTTTTATTTAAAATAAGTAAAATAACAGCACACTTGAATAAACTTTGTCAACCGTCAACCGTGTGCAGCATCATATTTCTGTCAATTAATGTGCAAAAATACATACCGTGAAGTTCACAGTTGTTTGCAAAGGGTACTTTTGTTGGTATACCTTGGCTCAAAAGTGAAAAAATGATAGCCATTGCTTTAGACCCCTGGCTAGTTTGATTTTGATGATGCTTTCTTAGTTCAACAAGCCAGATATATAATTCATATAAATCATCAAAGAGTATTGAGTTTGATAGGTGACTGTTGTTCTCCACTCTGAGGAATGTAGAATGGGCATATTTGGAGATCTATGAAAGCACTGAAACTCAGGACCTCCTTGCACTGAAATTAATGGCATACACTCTCTGTTCAAAACAGCTTGTTTAACATTCCTATACTGCATCTTTCAAAGCCATCTATGAAGATCAAAATGGTTTTCCCAAAACCAGTCCCAAAGTTAGAAGGTTCAAAAAGGATAAAAGCAGGGATTCCATTAGCTGTATCAGTTTATTTATTTCTACAGGACTGTAATGTCCTCAGTGCCGTCATTTATTTAGAGAGTGATTCAGAATGACAATGTTTTTTTTGTTTTAAAAACTGGAATTAGCAATAAGTCTGCAAAGAGTTTAGAATATCAAACTTTAAAAAGCCAAAATTCAGAACTTCAGAATTATTTAAGATAAGATTGTGTATGAGGTATTTTTGTGGACAATTGAAGATTCCTCAATTTAGTGTAATACAAAAAAATGTCTGTGAAATTTTACGTCAATGTATTTAATAACAGTATAGTGACTTACTTCTATAACTATATTTGTTATAACTTAAATAATTTACATTTCATTTGAATTTGTAAAAATGTATTTGATTGATTAAAGCATAAAGGCCCACCCAAACCGAACCCTCAGTGAGACATCCTACAAAAACATATAAATGTTCATACAAATTTGCCACCAAACTATTTTACCAAAATGTAAAATAATTAGGAATTGCCAGGAGAGTGTGTCAAATTACTAATTTCAGGATAGTATTTTATTGTTTTAAAATAATTGTTTTCCTTTTCTCTCCTTTCTCAACCTTCGTATAGGGAAAAACACACCATGAAACATCACCTCACAAAAAGTTAACTTCACCATACATTATTTTAAATGCAATTCTCTCATTTCAAATGAGAAAATCATGTGTCAGATTCTTTTCTGACATGTTCCTTATTTCTAATTGAGGATATGGTGGAAACTCAACACTATCCCATGATGAACTGCATTGCATTGCACATCCACTCACAACATTGCACAAGAGTAAACTAAACTTAATCGTAGAATGTACAGTCTCATTCATTAGTTTCTACTTTAGGTAAATGCACATGCAAGATCCTCCTGAGACCCACAGCTGTATTATTGTATGTTGTTCAGGATCAGTCTGGCATATCCAAATACTGTACAAAGCAAGACGATCAGAATAGCACCAATTTACAATCCAGGAATAAATACTGATGCTGGTATATCCAGTGAGAGAAACGTGAACATTTAAAGACAAGAAAAAAGTAAGGATAAATTCCTTTGCTGGTCTCTCCATGAACTGTCATGACAAACAATTCTGCAAACCAATACAAATTGATAAAGGTCAAATCAAGCGTAAAGCGGCAATCAAAAGTACATGCATGATCTAACCAATGATAATCTGAGAAACTGAACTCTTGACTGAGGGAGCTGTGAGCAGCATATTAACTGCTTTAACATTAGAGTGGAAAACTTTCACATGAACACACACATAGTCCTATTAATTATGACGATTATGATGAAGTGTTGAAAAACATTAGCACTGTGTGCATTCTGCTCCTGCTGCAGTGCCAAGGCCATCGCCCTTTAACTCAGCTCATATAAATGGGTTCACATTTGCACATAAGAATTGGTACCAATTACAATTCATTTTCATTCATTCACTTTTTCAATTTCATATCCGTTGCAATAATTCACATTATTTTAAAGAACCCATTAGACATTATAAAACTACATTGTTCTCCAAAGTCAACATTTGCCACACCAAGTTTTCAAAAGATTTCAGATGTTATAAAGTTGCACTGGTTATTTGTAATGTTTTTTTTTTTTGTTTTTTTGTTTGTTTGATTTTTTTTTTTTTTTTTTTTAATTTTACACTTTCTATTGCAATAACAAAGTCTGTCTTCATCGTTTTATGTTCATCCAAAACATTGAGGTTTTTTTTTTTTAAGTGTTTATATTTAGGCTACCACAGACATTCAAATGAAGTGACATCGTTTCCTTGCAGCTGACATAATTATTTGACTTATATTAAAATAGTTTCGGACAAAATAGAGCCGGTCAGGGAGAGAACGAGAAGAGTCGTGTTGCCCGCTGTTGAGACATGTTCGTTGGGCTTTCGTTCGAGACAATCCCACGTTCTTTTGTTTTTCACTTGCACGCCGTTAATTGATTTTAAGCTCAAAAAGACTTTAATGGGCTGAATTAAAAATCATATTATAACCAGCTGAATCACACCTATTACATTTATGACAATTTGTTTAAAACTCCCTCAGCCAGGTCTATTGGCACAGCACCTCACTCTTAAAGGTTCTATAGAACCTTAAAAGGATCAGCGCTACGTATTTGGAACCCCAAAAAGGTTCTATACACTCTTTAAAAAGGGTTCCTCTGGGTTCTATATAGAACCCTGGGTTCCATACATGGCCAATAGAACCTTTTACCAAAAAAAATAAAATAAAAAATTTTGGAGTTCCATATATGAAGCGGGGGATGGAACCATTTCTGGGTTCTAAATAGAACCATTTCTTCTAAGAGCTTGCTTTATGAACATCTTTGATATAGGCAATATAAAAATGTGACAAGAGGACAGATAGGCTAGGCTACATTAATTCAATAACTTCAAGCAATGGCAGTTCTTCTATGATTAATAATAATAATTCATAATCTGCTAACCACAACACTGACAGACAGATTTAGCCCGATAGTCAAGTCAAGCATATTGACAACCTAAATTAATTTGCAAATGAAATGGTCAGGATGGAACCATACACAACAGCATGATAATCAAATATGCAGAGAATTTTTGTTTTACCACTCCGGTTCTAAAAAGATAGCCTAATCGTTTTCATTAAACAGATAGTGTTCATTCTTCATATTACGCACTTACTTACAAAACATAGAGGTAGCATAGACACACATAACACAATTTCACTAGTACATTTTCAAATCCTACCGTTCACATGTTTTTGGGAAATGTTATTTGAATTCCTTTGCTCGTGTTGAAATGGTGCTGTGCTGTTAACCAATCCAATTTCCTTAGTAAATGAGAAAAGTTGTGTCGCTCGGCTTCTGGGCGAAACGAATCATTCTAGAAGTCAATAGTCAGAAGAAGAAATGAAACTGCGCTTCCACACGCAGTTTCTCATAGACAGTATCAGAGCGCGCGCACAAAACGTGTGGACGCGCGTCACCTACAAAACAGTGAGGAAAAAAAATGTGATGTGATGTTCTTTTTCTTTAAAGGGGAAAGGAGCTAAATAAAGTCATAAAAAAAATAATGTCGTGAAATTAAATCGACTTAAATCTACTGAAATGAAATAGCCTATTGGATAAAAAACATACAGGCAAATTGCACTGTGCTGAAATGTTTGTAGCCTATAGAAAACTTTTCTCACAATGGCTCTGCCTGCTTGTTCATCATGCCATAATGTCATAATATGTCATCAGGTATCAATATCAGCCAATATAAAAAATTGAGCAATTAAAAGACTTAAATAGAGATCAAGTCTAAAATGCATAAAATAAACAATTTAATATTTTGCCTTTGTATTCATTGTGATATGTAAATCATAAATGACTTTTCAACCAGGCTAAATGTTTTTGTTATGTTTACATTACTGAATTTTAATCCACAGTGCAGTTACTGGCGAATTTGGGATGAATGTGTCATTTTATTTATATTTTCTTATTTTAAACAGAATCAGGTTGAGTCACTTGCTATAGAAGGTTTGGCATTCTAACCTGTAACCCTGCCTTTAACACAAGGGATTTTGTCTGTTTTTCACACCCAAAGCAATGGCACCTAAAACACATTACTAAGCAGAGTGATATGAACCAAACCAGTATGACTCAAATTAATATTGCCAAGATGGAAAGTACATATAATTCCCAATAAAATTCATAGTTACCTTCTAATATAAACTATTGTTTACTCTATCTGATGGCATGTGATGCATTGACAAAATGTTTAATCAGTTTCATGCAAAAGGTGAAGCTTCAGAACTTAATTCGGTGATTAGTTCAATTTAAGAAATTTTACAGTGAAAAATTTTTAATTCATTGTGTATTTTACTAAGATTCAAATCCACAGGTGTGAGAAATATGTGCCTGGGAAATTCAACATTATCAACACACAAAAAAAATGTTTCTTCCTGACAGAGAGTGAGTGCACACTTTCAAAATCTTATGTCATCTAAAAGGGTTGTGTTACATAATACTATAGCTAAATTAAAATGGGTAGAATGAACCTACGCACTAGAATCTATTCAATATAGGGTGAATGTCATCACAGTTTAGCCTATGTATATTGCAACTAAAGACACAACAGCAACATAAAGACATTATAGTCATTAGTACAGTTTAGCAGGTACTTCACAAACTTAAAAGCAGAAACTAAAACTATTCAAATATAATTCATATTTTTCTCTCTTAATAGGCCTATTCCATGAAATTGCATCTAAAATATTTTCAATTCGATAGATTTCATTGAGGATTTTGATCACATATAGTCAGCTTTAATAAACAATTACAGCACCAGACCTAGACAAATCATTTCAAGACACTTTTCGAGACCATTATCAGTGGTTTCATCCAGGCCAAAATTACTTGTTCTGCTTCAGTGGTCACTCAATTAAGTAATTTTCTGGTTCCACAATAAGCTGAAACATCAAAGTGAATTAGCCAATGATCTCAAAACACTTCAGTTTAGGGGTTTCCCTATCAAACAATGTGTGATAGGGACATGATCTGCATAATACAGCATATGCTGTAATGCTGTACAGGTATATGTGACATTCAGTTTAAGGGTGCAGTGCAGATTCATTTTACTTTATTTTGTATAGTGTACTAGACTCGAGGTGGACAAATGTTTGACTCTCTAAAGTAAGTTGAGTTAGAACCAAGATGACAAAATCATTTTAAGGTCACAGTAGGAACAAAGTGGTTAATTAGTAATTCAGGATTTCCGGATCTTCAAATCATTTACTTTAAGGTTCATCTACCTGTCAAATCTACCTAGATTAAATATAATATAAATATTTTACCACTAACTGAAAAAATAAAATACAAAATATACTTTTGCCATTTGATGCTCTTATATTGTGTTTTACTGTATTGTCCTTAATATATAAAAAACCTTTGTTTAACGTCCTCGAGTATATTGCATAATCAACATTGTCTAGAGTGGTATTTTTTCAGCAGTTAAAAGCTTTAAGCCTGCTTATTATTAGTAAATCTTTCCAAATACTCAACATTCCTCTCTTTAATCTCTGCAAATTTGAATTGCTATAATACCTTCCACTTATCCTCAGTATTTCAATCCGAAGTTCTGACTGACAAGAACAATGAATCACAGATGTGTCGATGTCCTGCTGATAAAGCCAAAATATTATTTGCAGAAGTAAATTGTCATTTCTGTTTCTGAATGTTTCTAATACATGTTAGTCAAATGAATTGGAAGCTAAATAAGGCCCTCTGAGTGTCTGGCCTTGTAGCAACCCCAGAGAAATATTTTCAGTCTGTACGGTCGGCAGGTGCAGGAGTGAGAATTTTCATGACAGTTTAATTCCCCCCCCCAGTCTGAGGTCGGCAGGTCAACCTGTAATAGTGTGGTTTAGCTCACTTTAGCTCTTTATTGTATTACTGCTAGATTAAAATGAAATGAGCATTTAGAACTGCTCACATGACTCTATATAATGATGGGTTTATAGACAAAATGAGAGATTTTGAACAGTGAACACTATGTGTATTTTTAATTCATTTATTTATTGTACTGTATTGTAACTTTTATTCTTGTTTTTAATCTGTTTTTAAATGTTGCTTTTATATTTTATGTTTTTTGTAAAGCACCTTGGATTGCACTTCTGCTGAAACGTGCTAAAATTGCCTTGCCTTGCTTGACTAAAGACTTTAAATCTTTTAAGACAAAAAAGGTTTGGAAACTAGCCTTTTTAATTCACAAAATTCTCACGCAAGCAAGACAAGGTAATTACACGATATCTGCTGTTTTGATTATGAGAATAAAATTTAATTTTATAGAACAATTATCATAGGAGGAAATTTCCTCAAGAAAACACTGACACTCAATTAACCAAATCAAATTAAACCCTACAGCGCTCTCAGTGGACTGTGCTCTCCATTTTGTGATTCCTTTTATCTTACAACATTCACACAGCCATAAAATAATCTTTCAGGGGCATCATTTTTCTAATTTCTCCATTTGTTCTGACCTTTAGTCACACATTTAAGCGTTAAGCATGTTTTCTCAGCTTGGCTTGATTCTTAAAGATATTATGTAATGAAATAGCAGCAATTAAGCTTTATCTAAAACAAACAAATAAATAAAAACACAAAGGTTTCTGTATGAAGACGGCAAATGAAATTGACGAATTAATTATCCATGGGTATTTTTCACTGATCAATAAGTTTATAATTTGCAAGAGCTCACCAAAATTGGACAGTTGAAGACTGGAAAAATGTTGCCTAGTCTGATGAGTCTCGATTTCTGTTGAGACATTCAGATGGTAGAGTCAGAATTTGGCGTAAACTGAATGAGAACATGGATCCATCATGCCTTGTTACCACTGTGCAGGCTGGTGGTGGTGGTGTAATGGTGTGGGGGATGTTTTCTTGGCACACTTTAGGCCCCTTATTGCCAATTGGGCATTGTTTAAATGCCACGGCCTACCTGAGCATTGTTTCTGACCATGGTCATCCCTTTATGGCCACCATGTCCCATCCTCTGATTCCAGCAGGATAATGCACCATATCACAAACCTTGAATCAGTTCAAATTGGTTTCTTGAACATGAAAATGAGTTCACTGTAGAAAAAATGGCCCCCAAAGTCACCAGATCCCAATATAGCATCTTTGGGATGTGGTGGAACGGGAGCTTCATGCCCTGGATGTGCATCCCACAAATCTCCATCAACTGCAAGATGCTTTCCTATCAATATGGGCCATCATCTCTAAAGAATGCTTTCAGCACTTTGTTGAATCAATGCCACGTAGAATTAAGGCAGTTTTGAATGTGAAAGGGGGTCAAAATATTAGTGTGGTGTTCCTAATAATCCTTTAGGTTAGTGTGTATGCAGGGCATTTATTGGTGGAAGAACAGCTTTCAGACACTCTTTCTTTCTGAGAAAGTGCAGCCCATATGAAAATCACCTTTTCCTCAGCATTCATTCATACTATTTTCTTTGTTTTTTAACGGTATAGTTCACCAAAGATTAAGATTCTGTCATTTGCTCACCATACATTTTTTTTTGGACGCCAATGGGTTCCAATGTCATTTGTTAAAACAATGTTCATTGAAATATCTTCTGTTGTGTTTACAGAAAAAAATACATACAGTTTTTAAATGACAGGAAGGTGAGTAAATAATGACAGAATTTTTGATAGATTATCCAGTTAAAGAAAAACAAATGTACTGTATTACTGTAGAACAGCTCAATCGTGTTCCTGGAAATCAACCTTTCTTCAACCTTGGTAATTAACCAGCATTAATATATTGAGGATATAAAACTCTGATGCTCAATGGGTCTGCCAATGAAGGCAGGGATTTCATTGAAACTCCAAATTGCATTAAAGAAGAATCACAGTTACTATCACAAAGACACACAACAGCCAATCTTCTTCAGCAAACTGCCACTTACAGCATGTTGCTGCGGGCAGAGACAGCTGTGTGGTTATGTCATGCAGCACGTTGCTAGTTATAAGAAACGACACTGGCAGACAAAGATAAAAAAATTCTTTTAGCATTGCTCATCACCACGTGAGAGATATCCAAGCCAGCTCATGCTTGATTTCCGGGCTAGATAAGTCACGTGTGCATCGCATTGAGCGTGACTGTCACTCTGTCTTCTGTCACACACTCCTGCCACACATTGTATTTCTCACAAGGAAAAAAACATTTATAATATATTTAATAAGCCGCAGCAAAATGTATCTGGCCGCGTCACTCTCACTATGGAACTGGCAGTAATCAAGTGCGTCTTCCCTGGAGTTTTTAGTCAGCCTGCAACTTATCAGCCAATACAAAAAAAAAAAAACAAAAAAAAAGAAAGGGACTACACAATAGCCAATCAGAAAATAGCACTATCTGGGTAAGATTTAATGCAACAACCAATGAGTTTTGCAGCCGGTTCACTGT